TTTTTTTTTTTTCCTTGAAGTCCTAGCAGGTACAAATCTTCTACTTATGGCTCATTAAGCAAACTTTTTCCTGAGAAAGAGTTTCATCCCCTCCTCCGTGCTGGTCTTGACATGCAACATCCAGAAATTAAGATGGTCTGGTTGACGGGGTGGAAGGGAATGGGAGCAAACTCTCTGCTCCTGTGCTGAGCCTGCTCGTCCTCTGCGACTGCCACCACTGTCTCCCAGGGCTGCCCCATACCTGAATTTCACCCAAGGCAGATAATGAGAAATTCAAACTTTCTTATATGCACCTGCAACTCATTTTGAAAATGCCCAGCTACAGGTGCTACTGAAAAAGTTCAGGACCACATTTTTAATAATTTACCCTGAAGCACCGTTTCTTGGGCTGCTGTCAAAATTGCTAGCTTGGTAATGGGACCAACAAATGCTTTTGCACACTTGTTAAGCTGCATATTTGCAGGGCTCCACACTTAGCACTCATCTGGATCATGACACGCGGAGTTTATAAATATTCAGAAGGTGACAGTCTCGTTATTTTTGCATGAGTAACTTGTCTGGGCAGTAGTGAAATGTAGCTGCTGCCCCAGCCTGGAAACTGAGGCACTTTGTGTCCCCTCGCCTGCCTTTTCCACAGGAAACAATGGCAGACAATTTCATTCAGCATTGCCCACAATGACCTGCCCTGAGCACTGTCAAACACCTCCTGTGCAAAAAGCATTGGGGGAGTTTTCTCAGAGCTCCATGCTGTGATGTGCAAATCTGTCTGCGGGCCTGCACGGTGCAGCTGTCCTGTGGCTTTCAGAGGTTGCAGGGGAGTTGGGTCTTAGCCCTTCTCAGAAATGCCCAAGCAACCCATCAACAGCTAGTTTTAAGAGCTGCCTGTGTTTTTTACAATTACCTGCACTGTCTGGGTTGAACCCTCTGTTGGCATAAACCAAAAGAGTGTCAAGGACCCAGTTACTCAAAACTAGTTATATGTGTGGAGGGACTTACAATACTGAGGATTGTTATGAGCTTGCTTTTGCCCAGAAGTCGGACAGGGTTTCTTCTACTTTAATCTACTGGATGCAGCTGTCTCCTTCAAGGCTTAGATCTTGTCTTTGCTGTCAGGAGAAATCTATTAGGTTCAGAATTACAGTATACATTGCAGTGTACATTATACAATAAAACTTGTTAGTATTTTCTGATGACAAGATCAAAGAGAAAGATCCTCACCATGGATCCATGAGCCCACCATCCTCCCTTGCATGGGCTGGCAAGAAAACCACTTTGGACATCCCCACTTCCCCAAGTGTGAGAACTGGACTCTTTCTTCCCTTAGGGCCAACAAGAGTTTTTACAGATGCGGAAGCCCAGGAAATAGCATGACTGCAAGTTTTGGGTGGAGCAAGAGGCCCCTTAAAAATCAACACCATTGGATTCAATAAAAACCATGGGCTGAACTCCAGAGCAGCACCATTCTGCAGATGCCACCAGTAGCAGCCATGAGAATTAGTGGCTTGTAAATTTCCAGTAGCTTGGAAATTTAGCAAAAAATGACATGCTAAAGCAATGCTAAGTTGTGTTATTATGGCTGAGAAGAGACAGCTCAAAGAAAGTATGAATGAAAGCTCTACAAAAATAATTCACCGAAATCCCACAGAGAAAAAAAAAGCTGGGCACTCTTAGTTCACTAGGGCACCCAGGGAAGTCTTGCAGGAGTTTATAATGCAGGTATTACGATACATATTAATTTTTTTTAATGTGACCTTTTATGTTTGAATTACTTCTTTATGATGCAAGGATGGTTTCTGAAGTACATTTGTAGGGAACTGTAGCTCTATATATGGTATTTGTGAGTTTAGGGAGGGAATGTGAACAGGCAGATGTAAGCGTCCTCTACAGAAAAGGCTCTTGAAAAGTGGAGAGTGACCCTGTAAAGCTAAGATGCTCTCTAATAACTAGAAGCAGTTGGCAGGACTGAGCATTGGACAGGGCTAGAGGCAGGTATGCATATGCAAACACGAAAACAGATATCATAACAGATAACATTTACTTTACTTAATCTTTGGTAGAGGCACATTCCTGAAAGTAACTAGAGCACCACGTCTCACGTGCATTTCAGGAAAGCTGCTACTGCAGCCAAGACCATCCCTAGGGGTAGCAAGCATGCCCTCGGCTATGCAGGATTACCATCTTCCTGACACAAGCTTGGGGCTGGTGCTGGTGCACTTCGAGTGCAGCACAGAGCAATAGAGCATAGAAGCATCAAAATGGGGTCAGGCATTGGTGGGGCAAGAAGCTGCTGTTCATGTGCTGCTCACTGAATGCACTGAGAAATGGAAGATTTCCAGTGAGTCCAGGACACAAGGTGGACCTTAACTCTTTTCCTCATGGCCCAGCGCAGTGCACATGTGGCACGTTCCTCCTATAGTGTGCAGAACACCAGAGCAATGCACACCGTGACAGGTCATGGTGTGAAGGGCTCAAGGCACATGCAAGGTTTGTGAGATACCATGATTCAGTGAGATAGAAGGAAGATGAAAATAGACCTTAAAAAGAGCGTCTCTTTTAAGTTCTTAACTTTATTTATTTATTTATTTATTTATTTATTTATTATAGAAGAATTTTCCCCGGATGGCAGCAGGGCTGCTTGAGGAGCAGTTGTGGCAGTGGCTTTGGAGGTGGGCTCACAGGTTTTCTGCTTGTTGCTTTCTGTCAGGGGTAGGCTCAGGTTGTTTCACTTCTGACCGTGAGTTCTTTGAGGCTGGGAGTTATTTAAAAGTTAGGGAGTCAGTTGCTGGGCAAGGTTTCTTTCAAAACACAAGGTCTTTGAATGCTGGTTGTAGTTGCTCGCTTATTTTCCATGTGGATGTCATTAGAGCTTAGTATGTGAAAACTGAAGGGTAGAGTCAGTTGATTGTTTTTTGTTTTGTTTTGTTTTATTTATTCATTTATTTGTTTATTGCATTAAGGTAAGCTGCTGGTTGCTCACTCAAGGTAAGGCAAGATTAGTTTCCCTGATAAGCAAAGCCTGGTTTCATGTTAATGAACCAAGTGTCTTGAGCACTCTCCTCCAAGTGACCAGAAGGATCTGAGAGCCTGCTGCAAGGCCCAGCAACCAGTAAGGTTTTGAGTGCTTGCCAGCTCGGCAGAGATAACAAGGGCTGATCTGCAGGCATGTCTGTACATGGGAGACTCAGCGTGTCACTGCCGGGATGATACTGCCCATGAAGCTGCTAGGGGTGTGAGAATATTTCAAAGACAGCTTGATGGCATTGCTGATTACTGGATTTGTGATGGGAGTTGGTAACAGAGTACAGGCTTCCACTCCAGATGGTGAACATGTGGTTTCCCAATGTTGGTTAAAGCACAGGCATGGAGACGTGGTTATATGAAGAGAAAAAATCTCCTGTGAAGTTGGTTATGAAGCAGTTGGTGTAGTTTAGGGTAAACTAGGTTCCTATGGCCTGAACAGGAGTGAAATGGGTGACTTTGGTGGTATATTCGGGTTGGGAATCCACATTTTGTGTTGTAGGTTTTTAAGACAGGCTGCAATGCTCTTGCTGGGGGTGTTGCTGTGCATGCGGTACCCGACTGTAGTAGCACAAATGGTGCCAATTTGGGGTATTTTAAGTTACACAGCCCATGGAAAAATCCCTTGATTTCTGTGTGAAGAAGGGCTGAGAATAGTTTCTCTGCTTTGTGATAGTTCTCCAGGCAAGCTGGAAGCAGCAGATCTGCCAACGTTTGGGGTTGCTTTTTATTTGGTTGGCTCTGGGGAGCAAAGGCACTGAATTGTTGTGTCAGTGAGGGCTTTATGAGCCACAGGGCTCCTCAAACTTCACAACAGGGCAGCAGACCAGCCTCTTGCAGGAGCCAGGCTCTGGGCTGTGGGTGCTACACATGCAAACAGCAGCATCCTCAGTGTCTGCCTGGCCTTCTGCGTTTCCCCCTCTTTTTGCTCCAGCTGTCCTGTGGAGGAAGAAGCAGTTGCTGTAGGGCTGAGGAGCTGCACAGACAGGGAGCTAGGGGAAAGCGTGGAGATTTTTCAGGCACAATCTCCTGACTCAGGAAGCTGTTTGCCCTCCTTCAGTATTCCAGGCAGCAAGTCTGAAAAGAAGGCCTTATCCTGTAATACAGGCCAGTCGTGCTCACAAAGGCCTCTTTGTTAGGCCCGTGTCTGCTGCATCGTTCCTCTCTGACAAAACTCCTGTGCCAAAGCCCCAGCGTGCTTGGCTCTGAAAGTGCCAGGCTGGCAGCAGAGGGGGCGAATTCCTGCCCGCTCCTCCTGCCCCTCAGCTTCCCTGGGTCCTCCTGCCCCACCACTTCTCTGTTTCTCTGCTAAGATGGGTGGGATGAATGCAGGCAAGATGTTGCAGCGCATGCTCCTTGCAGCTCATATTTTTCACCAGCCTATATTTTTCACCAACAATACATTATTGGGCAGGCAAAAGACTTGCCCTCCAGACAGGTTTGGGTAAGTTTGCCTGGTGTCAGATCTAGCATCTGGCCTCTTAGGTGCAGCAAATGGGCTTTCAAAAGCAGGGCTAGCTGATCTGCCTGTGGGGAGCCAAAGCACTAAGCTCTTTGTGATACAGGAGGGTTTTTAGCACATGCTGGATGCACTGGGAGGCTCTTGCTTCCTCACTGAAACCTTAGGGTAACTTGGAGAACAGCAACATACACTAAAAAAAAATAGAGCGTACAGAGTGTGAAGCAAAAGGAGAGCAGCTAGAGAAGGAAGCACCGGGGGGCTATGTGGACTTGCCATGTGGAGGGCTCCTTGGGGTGTGTATGAGTCGTATTGCCAGGCACCAGGGAGTGTTTGGCAGCTTTTTGGCCCAATTCTGGCCCTTGGGGCAGGAGACTGGGTCAGGACAGCTGACTGCAATCCCAGGGCAGCCACAGGCTGTGCTTTGAACTCCTGTTGCTGGCAGCTTTACCTGAATTACCATACAATAATGTCCATTCTCTCTCTATTTTTTATTTTTATTTTTCTCCTAGTTGAGTTGCCCTGTCTGGGTGTATTCACTAGATTCACTACTGCACTTTTCAGTACCTAAGAGGGAAATCAGGAGAGCTTTCCATCCAGTATTTCTGTTCAACTTGACTGGCGTTTCATAAGAGGAGGCTTAATGGGGAGGTAACAGCAGTAGGGAACAGACTCACTCCCCTTCCTCCTTTTTGGCTCTGCATCTCGGCTCTGAGAGGTCCGTCTAAGGCGTCCATCTGCTCCTGGCAAGCACCACTCCAACACCTGTGAGCCAGATGTAAACAGCTGCATGGTAGGTGTCATTTCTGATCCAGCCTTAATGCAAACCATGCTTAGGAATGATTACAAATGGCTCCATAAAAAAGACAAAATGTATAGCACAGGTAAGTAGCACCTCTTTTTTTATTCCATCTTTCCTTTTATCTTATATGCTTTCATATCTACGGTATAGAGCACGCTTTTGTGCTGCAGGATGAATAGCAGTCGAATTTCATTAATCTGGTCTCAGTGTATTAAATCGTTTAAGTGAATGCTGAAGTTGTATGCTCAATCTAAATATTTGTTTAACTGCTTTCCTGGATAGGGATACCTTAGTACTGTTAGCTACCTTCACTAACTCTAATGGCTAGCCTAGCAGGCTGGCTAGTTCTTTCTTTGACATTTAACTTTGTACATAAGACATTACCTAATCTGATAGCAATTTCTGATAGCAAATTCCTTTAAATACTGCAATCTCTACGTACCACAGATTTTGCAAGGTCATGGTTACACAGGAAAGTACCTCCTGAAAACCCCTCTGTTTAAGGGTAAGTTGTCTTTGCCTTTGAGGCATCATTGTAAGAGGCTACAGTTGCCTTTGTTCACCCCCCCCCCCCTTCCAGAGATGGCTTTTCACTACTTGCTTCCCATTACATTTTCCATTTTTGGAATACTTTGGATTGACATCAGAAGACATTTTTTTTTTTTTTTAAACTTGCAACTTCTTTCCTTGTCCAAAGGCTGCTGTTAGCAACTGTACGGAATGCACTGAGCAATTTCCAATAGTCCGTATGGCTTTGCTGACAACTTCAACAAATATATTGAATTTTAATTTGGATCTTGATATTTTATAATCTCACATTTTATAATATCACATTCCAGGCAGTTACAGTTTGATTTTCCTGTCATTGTGAGCTATTTGTGTTTTCAGCAGGCTGCTGAACAGTTTATGCTGTGTCAGATCACGCTGGTTTCTCTGTAGTAGTCTCATTATAAGCCCCCAAGGAAACATATTCTGAAAAACAGGTTTGGATCAGACTGGATGTTAAATCAAGGTTATAAAAAACCTTCATTTTCCTTCATGCCATTCCTCCGGCGGACGGAAGGGAAGGAACGGGAGGGGGGAGGGAGGGAGGGGGAGGGAGGCGGGTGGTGAATGGCGGGGTCGGAGGGAGTGGGGAGGGGGGGGGAGGGCGGGAGGGAGTGAGGGGAGGGATGGAGGGCGGGAGGGAGGAGGGTAGGAGGGAGGGAGGGTAGGGATGGATGGGGCGGAGGGCGATGGACGTGCTCCTGACGGCACGGACGGGGAAGGACGTAGGAGGACCAGACGTACGCGGAGCCTTCCTTCCTTCCTTCCTTCCTTCCTTCCTTCTTCCTTTCTTCCTTTCTTCCTTCCTTCTTCCTTTCTTCCTTCTTCCTTTCTTCCTTTCTTCTTTTTCTCTTTTTCTTCTTTCTTTCTTTCTTCTTTTCTTTCTTCTTTCTTTCTTTCTTTCTTTCTTTCTTTCTTTCTTTCTTTCTTTCTTTCTTTCTTCTTTCTTTCTTTCTTTCTTCTTTCTTTCTTTCTTTCTTTCTTTCTTCCTTCTTCCTTCCTTCCTTCCTTCCTTCCTTCCTTCCTTCCTTCCTTCCTTCCTTCCTTCCTTCCTTCCTTTCTCCTTTCTTCCTTTCTTTCTCTTTTCTCTTTTCTCTTTTCTCTTTTCTCTTTTCTCTTTTCTCTTTTCTCTTTTCTCTTTTCTCTTTTCTCTTTTCTCTTTTCTCTTTTCTCTTTTCTCTTTCTTTCGTTCTTTCGTTCTTTCGTTCTTTCGTTCTTTCGTTCTTTCGTTCTCTTTTCTCTCTCTCTCTCTCTTTCTCTCTTTCTCTCTTTCTCTCTTTCTCTCTTTCTCTCTTTCTCTCTTTGTTTTTCTTCCTTCCTTCCATCTTCCCTCCCTCCCTCTCTCCCTTCTTTCTTCCCTCCCTCCCTTCATTCTTCTCTCCCTCCCTCCCTTCTTTTCTCCCTCCCTCCTTCCCTCCCAATCCTCCTTCCTTTGAAGCCTATCATGCGTCTTTTTCCATTTGCCACCTAGGGTAGGTATTTCCAGTGAAGAGAAAGCTTTAAGGTTGATCTTACCTACCAACAAGTCATGTAGCTTAAATGAACTTATAGCCACAAGACACAGGATCAAAAGGTAAATGATAAATAAAGGCAATGTCCATATGTTACTTTTCCAACTCAGTTTTGGATACATTTCAGAAACCTTTAGAATGTGAAGTACCTTTAAGTAGATTTTTAGTGGTTTTCGAATCAAACCCCAGTAAAGCACTATGAACTTGAAACTTACGGTCAATTGTTTCATGTTTACTTTATAAAATAAATAGCAGCCATTAAGTGATATCCTTACTTATGTCCTTACCAAAATTTTAAGGGAGAAATAAAACACAAACATAGAGTTAAAAGGAAATGCCTATCTGCAACCACTCAGTATAGAAGAGAAGCAGGACTGGGGATGATTTCAATATCGCCTTAAATCAGGAGATCAGTTAATAACTGGTCTCTGGTATGGGTGCATGTTCCCTGCCATTTCTGCAATGCAGTTTCCATGGTATCACTTCAGCGACAGGTCCCAAAGAGGTGGGGAGAGACCAGAGTTGACTGCCTGCTGGTACTATTGCATATAAATATGATTCCCTTAATCTTCAAATGTCAAAAGAAAATGTAGAACTGTCAGGCCAGGCTGGCAACACCAGTTGTAGGTTGGACACTTGAAAGTTAGAGATTCAGTAAATACATTTTTTCCCTTGTTTGCTCTTCCTATCTCCCCCCACCTCTTTTCCTACCAAACACTTTTCTCCTCCATCCAGCAGTGAGATGAATCATTTTTGTTCCTGTTCCAGGAAGTTCTAAAAACAATTTTCAAAATTTAATCTAAAGTAAGAAATGGGGCAAAGGAAATAAAACAGGTTGGGATTACTTAAAACTAAATTTTCAGAACACCATTTTGATAACTTAATTTATAAGGACATAGCAGGCAAACAGAAGATGACATTTAATCATGTTTAATGTCAGAACAAACTCTTAACACAAAAAAATTACTTTGATTCTCTTTGAAAACCAAGAAAACTTTACATTCCTTTGAGAGCCTTGTATGAAGGTTGTGTTTCACTATTGAGGGGAGAAAAAAATGAGAAAAGAACAGTAGATAGGTTGGTTTTCCCCATCAAGAAAAGATCTGAAACACAGACTCCATCTGGAAAGCAAACAAAAAAAGAGAAGAATTTGCTGAGTAACACTTGTTAACAGTTACTGGCACTGTTCTTGAATCTAAATGAGAACTGTACATTGCCTTGATCTGAGTGTACAGCCTCTGCAGTTATGTGGCAAAGGAGGAAAAAAAAAAAACCCTACTTACACCATATTTGTGTTTAATCCAAAGCACACATGAACCAAGACTTAAAAAGTCACGCAGTGATTCCCCAAAGCTTCCAACCCTACATTGACCTTTGCAGACCTATATATATGACTCAGTGTTTCAAAACCTCAAGACCCCATAGACTCCCTGAAGGCATTTGCCTTCTGATTCCCAGCATTTGGTGCTGGACAGGTGTCTGGATGGTGTGGGCATCTCACATGTGTTAGGAGGAGGCTCCTTCCTCACCTCCTTTCTGTAGCTGCGGGATGGGTGACCTCCTGAGAGGGTCCATCACTGCCTGCCTCAAGTTGAAGCTTCTCTGCCCAACTCCTTGCATTTTTTCCTTCTCACATGTGATTTCAGTTCCCAGATGCCAAAATAGCCCCATTGTGTTGTGAGTGGTGGTGCCCTACTGCATGTCTCTGGCGAGGCATAAAAGCTGAAGCTGGGAGGTTTGTTTTTTGGGGGACCTTGCTCCCAGATGACCTGACGGACCCCCACTTCTTCATATGGGTGGAGCATGATGCTGGCTTCAGCCAGAGTTTCCTGCAAAGGGCTGAAGGGATTTTTTATCCCCCACCACTTTTTTTTTTTCTTTTTTTTTTTTCGTTTTTTTTTTTTTTTATTATTCTTTTATTTTCTCTGTCCCTTTTTCACATTGGCCCCCTGCCCATTGTAAAAACTGCTGAGAATGACAGGATTTTCATTTTTCTCTTGGGACCCACCACCACTTGGATGGCAACTCAAGGGCATCAGGAGGCCTCTGACATGGTGATGTGAGCACCAGAGCCCATTTTCCCTGAGGATGTCCCTGCCTGTTCTGGTGTGTCTGGGGGGCACTGCTGCTGATGGAGTTCCACCAGCTGCAGGTCAGCAAATGAATTAGCTGTTGACTGGTGGGTTTCTCTCTTATTTGTAGGTTTCCGGTCTGATGTACACATCAGAATTACCAGATGGGTTTTATCAGATCTTCTGGATTTTTTTAATATTTCTGATTTGGTAGCATTAGTGTGTTGACTGCAGACAATCCTTCCATTTAAGGCCATAGAAATTAAGTCATTGCACAGCTCCTGGGAGGAGTTGTATATGTGGAAGAAAAACTACGTTATTAGCTGTCTGACATAAATGAGATGTAGTTATGCCTGCTGTGAAACAGTTACAAAGCTTTTTGCTTCTTGTTTTTTTTTTTTTTTTTTCCTGTGCTGCTCCTGTGCCAGAGAAGATGGTAATCTGCATAAATTAAAAATTATATAGTCTTCCAAACTTCAAAGCAGGTGGTGTTTCATCTATGCCATGGATGGAATACTTTGGGATCAGAGCATGTCTCCCTGCACAGGAGGATGCCAACAAACTCTCTCCTTCAAGATATGTAATAAATGATTTTAGCATTTTAGCGAGGTGTCTGCCTTCACCTGGAAAATCAGAATTGGCAATGGTACTTACAGAAAATGCTTATATAGAGATGTCAGTGCTTGAGTATTATGAGCAGTCTGAGACTGCTGTGCTGAACAAAGATGTTCTTCACTTCCTTACAAACTAGACGTAGAGCTAGCCTCTCAAGCTTGGTAGACTAGTCAATTGAAGTAAATTGATTTGATTTACCACTACAGAGAATCTGCATTGTAATTTTAGTATTATAAAATTCCAGAAG